CTTAATATCTTGTAATGCGAGGGGATGTAAATTGCTTAAGTCATTTAGTAATAAGCTTAAGTAATATCACTATATGTGAGAGAATTTGATGCTACACGTATGTGTACATTTAATGTCAAACTTGTTTGGAATTTTCTGTTAACTATATGCAATGTAATATTGCAGCAGGGGTCAAGCCTAATGACCTGAAAAGTTAATAGTCGTAGATTGAATGCTAATCATTGTACTTGGTTATGAAGTTTTAACGACTTATCAAAATGTGAGCATGGTATCTAAAATCTCATTAACCCTAGGTAGTCCAGTGCAGTAGAATTAATCAATTAAACGAGACTTACCTGCTTCTACTGCTACTGGACCACAGGGTTTAAGGCCCATCCGGTTACCCCTCCCGTATTATTAAGCCAAGGTCGCATTTTGCATAATAATGTATGCTCTGAAAGTCTGCTTGGTCATTTGATAAGATCAAATGTTCATCTCATTTAGCCCTTTGGTCCAGTAGCAGTAAAATAGTAATTGAATTTCAACTTCCAGGTAAGTCTCGTTTAATTTATTAATTTTTAAGTTGAATATAATTCTCTTATCAATAGGGGTATATCATTTTAAGAAAACATCCGGGAGTAAAGTTAAACCGGGTGTCATAAATTAAACATTTGCAGTAGTAGCTATCGGGTGTTGCATCTCATGTCTCAAGGTTGCTTAACTTTTTTTTTCGAAGGTGTTTATTAAACCATTCGGTAAAATGCTTTTATTGTTAACAATATATGTTTTTTCGATACTGTAGGTGTTTCAAAAATATTTCAAGCTGGCAGGGGTCTAACATATAAGCTAATCGGCGATCGTTATCAGTTTCACGCTAAGATGTCTGCAAAATCCGCCATTTTCCTTAGACAAACTATTTATATAAGACAATGGTGTTGCAGTATTTATATTGAAATTATTTTGATTTTTTGTCAATTTAAAGCTATTAAATCGGTATATCAAAGTTACCAACTATCCTGGGTGACATATAGACAGATGGAGTCATTTAGTTCATTTTACAAAAAAAAATATCAGTAACTTTGTATATATGAATATAATAAGTTATATAGCAGGTACAAAAGCAGTAACATAGATATTATCTAGATGTTGTCTACATCTCTGAAAAAAGTTAAAATAGAGAGAAATAAAGAATACCTAAATAACGTACAAAACGACAAAATTGAAAATGTTGCAGGCTCGGTTTGGTTGAGTCTGTTCATGGACGGTAATGGAATGTGCAAGTAACCGTCCGCGCCCCCTAGCACCGGCTTAAGCTGTATTCAACATTAAACCTGACCTGGTAAAATTTGGAATTTTGAAACATCCGCAGATGTGTTCATATGGTGGTTATCATGGAACCTTCAATGTGACACGTTAGTGCCATTCCATGAAAAGCGGCTTAAGGTCCCGAAGTAAAAAAAATTGCGTTTGCCCTAAACGAAAAAACAATGTGCAGAACTAAATAAAATGGAATTTTGAATGGCGGTCAGAGGTTATGATGCACTAAACAAGGAAAAAATTAAACAAATACTCTATTCCTTCCTTTATTATCCCCCGCCGAAAGGCGGTGGGGGATATAGAAATAGTCTTCGTCCGTCCATCCGTCCATCCGGACTAAATCTCAAAAAGTGTTTGAGATATCAACTTGAAAGTTCATAGGTGGATAGACCTCATTCAGGAGGAGTGCAGTGCACAAGAATGGTAACTCTACACTGCATACATTTTGAGTTATTGCCCTTTGTTATTTTTCAAAATTAATTTTTGTCCAGAGCATAACTAAAAAAGCCTTTGAGATATCAACATGAAACTTCATAGGTGCATAGGACTTACTCAGGAGGTATACATCGCACAAGAATGATAACTCTACCTTTTATAATTTTTGAGTTATTGTCCTTTATTTTCATACTTAATTTTTCACCTGAGTTGAGCATTACTTAAAAAGTGTTTGAGATGTCAACATGAAATGTCATAGGTGGATAAATCTTATTGAAGAGGAATGCTGTGCACAAAAAAGATAACTCTTCCCTATATAATTTTTGAATTATTGCCCTTTGTTCTTTTTCATACTTTTTTGTTAGGAGCTTATATCAAAAAGTATTTGAGGTATCAACTTGAAACTCCATAGGTGGATGAATCTCATTGAGGAGGAGTGCAGTCCACAAGAATGATAACCTACCCTGCATAATTTTTGAATGTTTGCCCTTTGTTATTTTTCAAAATTAATTTTTGTCAAGAGCATAACTCAAAAAGCATTTGAGATATCAACATGAAACTTCACAGGTGCATAGATCTCACTCAGGTGTGCACAATGATAATAATAACTCTACCTTTCATAATTTTTGAGTTATTGCACTTTGTTATTTTTCATACTTAATTTTTCACCTGAATGGAGCATACCTCAAAAGTGTTTGAGATGTCAATATGAAATGTCAAAGGTGGATAGATCTTCTTGAGGTGGAATGCTGTGCGCAAGAATCATAACTCTTCCCTATATATTTTATGAGTTATTGCCCTTTGTTTTTTTCCATACTTTTTTGTCAGGAGCTTATCTCAAAAAGTTTGAGGTATCAACTTGAAACTTCATAGGTGGATAGATTTTACTGAGGAGGGGTGCAGCACACAAAAATGATAACCTACCCTGCATTATTTTTCAGTTATTGCCCTTTGTTATTTTCAGCCATCAGTATTCACATAGGTTTCAAATCTTCAGCCATCAGTTTTCATTACCAAACGATCTCTTAAAATTTAATTATTCTGCTCTACTACATATACATTCTTCCAATGAGCAAACACATTCGACGGGTGATGACCATGTTGACACGGCTCTTGTTACAATTATGTCTATTCATAATCACATAATATATTTTAAGGTCTGATATGACATTTTTGTTTGTTCTTAACATAGTGTCAATAAAATGCTGCAGTAGAAAAATAAAATGAGAGAATATGCTATGAATATTTTATGTGACATTATCCTACCTAAATATTTCTATTAAAGCTCAATGAATCAAGATTAAATATTTCGATACATCTGCTTCAATAACATCATACCTGATCATGGGTTTAATTTAAAAACCGAGGTCTCACCGGGTCTGGTGTATGCAAACTTATTTAGAAGTGAATAATATTGCGTTTTATCACGAAACATATCTAATGTACAAATATACATATAATCATATATCATACTACAAAGTTACACAAGAGCAATTTTCTCATTTAATTAAAGTACCATCTTCATTGAAGTCAACGAGAAACATAACAACATTTTTGCCAAACGTTTTATTCATAATAAATGCATGAATGAAGTTATTTGTTACTCTTTTAGATACCATTATACAGTGAACTATTCAAGAAAAGCATTAAACTTATATATATACCAAATTATATCAGGAAAATTCATTAGTAACTTAAGTGGCATAATAGTTTCCTGTAAACGTCGGTACCGTGTTTTGTCTCAGGTTCTGAATGACCAGGTCACGTGAATCAGATGGCGGAGCAATCTCTTGTCTGGCGTAATGTCAATAACATGTAGTTTATTCGGCCACCTGTGTGCCTTTTGTGCCGTTTCTATTTTTCCTTACTTTTGTAACTTCTTTTCTGGCCGGTAATTTTCTTTCTATTTCTCCAAATGTGTGTAAGACGTTCCATAACGTATTGCTTCTATCTTACTCAATTTATTATATAGTTTGTAGTAAAAAATGCATTTTGTTTTACTTTAACAAATAAATTTCACTTGTGAAATGAAATTAGAAATATTTTGCTATTTCTTTTTTATATATTAATAATTATATGTTCTGATTCTTGATTCTAAAATCCTCTTGAACGTGGCCAATGAGCATGGCAGTTTTGTACAATTAATGTAACGGGCAAAACATCGGAATGCGGGTGCATACATGCCTTACTGCCAAGTGAAAAAAATAGCATAATGTCTTTTTTATTAGGACATGGAGTTTTTGTTCATTCATATGCCTATGGACACAATTCTAATTTTAAACAGGTTCAAAAACATCTGAGTTAACAACGTGAGGTTCAAAGGACGACAACTCAGACAATCACTTATTTAATGTATTTTGTTCAGGTATGGTGCAAAAATAGGCAACACAGACTGCTTTTTTATCATTTATTCATGCATTCATTCTAAGATAAGTAAGAAGATATAAAATATACGTACAATACAATTCTATCTTATAAGAATAGATAGAAACTGTAGAATTGATACTGGTTAAAGATCCTGTCTGTTGTATTTAAGGATGTAACAACACTTAAGTGAAATTTTATATTTGTATATAATTATTCTTCTGAAACACGTATTTCCAAACATCCAAAAATATGTAAGATGCGTCATAAAAATGTTTATGCGCATTAAAAGTAATCTTTAAAATAGATGCATTCATTTCTTATTGCAAATTTTGGCTGAGACTTTATCAAAAATAAATATCTAATTACATAAAATGTAAATTCAGTAATATCTTTACAAGTAATGCTTATTGGAAGTTACAATATTGATAAGTCTTCATTTGAGCAACACATTTATGATATAAAACCATAAAAGTTACAGGTTCTTTAAAGGTTTAAGCAAAATTAGAGTTTGCTTAATATTTACCTTTTATCGGAGTCTAAACAGCTAATTAACATGGAAAATGCAAGGTATAAATCTGGTACAAAATATAAGAAAATGTATCATTTATTCATGCATTCATTCCAAGATAAATTAGAAAGCATAACATAACAAAACTACGTACACATGTACAATATGTTAATGTCTTTAAAGAAGTAGATAGAAAATGTAGATTTTTTTCTGGTTAAAGGTTTAAGCAAACTTATGTTTTACTTATTTACCTATTAATAGCAAATTAACATGAAAAATACAAATTATAAATCTGGTTAGAATATAAGAAAATGTGTAATAAAAATAATTTCCATTATAGATCAAAAGTTATTTCTTCATAAGTTTATAAGCTTTTTTAACACTTCTTCCAGGGTGTCTATCATACATATATGTAAAATTGTGTGTATTTGTTACTTAAGAGCACGGATATTGTACAAAATTAGATTTGTAAAAGTAATTTGGTGACAGACAACAAAAAAATACTAAATAACAAACCATGGAGTTGCGATTTGTTATGATGTTGAATAGGACTAAATATATCTCCGGTATCAAGTTACAAATAATCAAATTTATACAAACGCATATCTTTTATACCTGTTTATTAAATATCAAATAACAAGAGGTTTTAGATTGAGTCATTGCCGTCTGAACATTTTACCGACAGCGTTTCAGAAAAAATGACACGTGGTTGAATGGTTTTAAAATTTACTTAAAGTATTTAAAGTTTATGCTCAAATAATGACTGGGTAAACTTTTCTACTGGCATTTGAAAGAATTTTAATAATATAAGATGTGAATGCAATCTTGTTACGAAGGTATTTCCTTTCACTCTGTATTTTTAAAATATATATCAGTTATCAACTAGTATTAAAAGCTTGTATTGTCTATATATGAGCAGCGCCATGACAAAAAAACATAGTGCGTTTGCGACCAGCATAGATCCAGATCAGCCTGCGCATCAGCGCAGTCTGATCAGGATCCATGATGTTTGCTATCAGTTTCTCTTCTTGTACAAGGCTTTTTAAAAGCGAAAAATCAAGTTTACTATTTTTGCTTGTCATATCACAAATGACCAGTCTACTTAGGCATGTATCGTCCGATTAGCTCAAAAGGAAGAGCGTTGGACAGTAAATCGCGCGAACCGGGTTCGATTCCCGGACGATGCAGGTAACGATCTAAGGTCATTCGCAAGTTTCAGTACAGAAGTTATTCGTTCCTTGCAATATTGAAGGCAACTAGTACTGATAAACTGATTGTCTTTCAAGGGACGATGCGGTGGCTGAAATCTTTTCTGGTAAATTCAATCATACTGTCGTGATTCCTACACCACTTAATAGGTATGTTAACATCTGTCTTTAAAGTAGAAAGTTTGAAAAATTTAAGATTTTAATAAAATAAATATGAAACAACATGTGTTGGTCAAATAGCAGAAACAGCAAAACTTTAAGTTTGACTTCCATCTTCATTATTTGTATTTCTTATTGATCAGTTTACCCTTAAGAGAAGGTGAGCCAAAAATTATATTCTTGTTTTGATAGTAAATAAAGTGCTTGTAAGGGAAAGAAACAAATTTAATAAAAGAAATGTCATTTTCGACGATAGCAACCTCTTTAGCATACAAAACTTTTATTTTAAACAAAGAAAGAAAACAGAGATATATTAATAAAACGTTTAAAGAGTCACACAATTAAGATACGCATATTAACTTACATATTTTGTATTTGTATTATATGATATAATTAAAACAGTTGATTACAAAAGATAACTCATCTACATGTATACATTTTGTTCTACTTAAACTCGTAAACAAGTTGTCTCATAACGTCGTACATAACAATGAAGTCCTCATATAAAGTCATTACTTTAATCGATCTAGTGTGAATTCATTTCATTTCGTGGGCATGACATTTTGAAGTTTGGTTTAAAAAAGACATTATCGCGAGGTTCTTAAATTCGCGAATTGACTTTTTTGCAAAAGAAAACAATAGACGAAATAAAGTTTCGTAGAAAAAGAAATAAAAGTTCGTTGAAACCTAAAATCTTGTATAGACTTATCCATTAAAACCAGGTAAATCTTTGTCCCACAAACAATAATGACTTTTTAATAATCACCATATGGTATCTTTTAGCTTATCTATATCAAACAATAACATTCAATAGCATAAATAATAAGTTCACATTAATTAGTGCATACGTACCATATTAATATGCATAAGTTCATAGGGAACATTTATATATGTTCATAACTTCACAGCAATTTTTACAGATACAGTAAACACACAATATACATTATTAAAAAGATTTTACAATTAATCAATATTTCACAAACCTTTTTCTCTTAACATTTATTCTTATATTAAAAGAATTAACAACAGTACTTGTATGTGTATTTTTTCATTTGCTGGGTTTATTTATAAGATATACAAATATATGTCGCCTATATTCAAAAGCTTTTTTCTAAAATGTGAATATGAATATGCAAAATATATAGGTAAAAAAGAACTCAGTTTCAGCGACTTGAATAGTTAATTTATCGTTATTTACTAACCTTGAGTTTCAATATTCAAAATATTAGCTCATCTATACAAGATTTAGTTAATGCATTATCAAGCAGACGTTCTTAACGTTATAAAAATAGTTTTCAATTTCAAAAGTTTCTTAAAGTATGTAAATTACTCATTTTTGGCGCATTTAGTATATACGTACAATACTAGCATATTTTTTTATGTTGATCTTTTATTCTCATTTGTACATAGCGAAAATACTTAACTCTATCTACATCTTAAAGGGACTCCACTGAGGTTTAAAAGCCTAAAACATAACATTTGAATTTTTTACATAAATGAGCTAGGGCACTTTAAACAGGAAAATCGTACTGTTATGCTTTTCTTAGCCCGATTTAAGTGAAAAGCGTTTAAACGCCTTTCATTTTGGGTCATTTTTTACCATTTGAATAATTATTCTGTAAAACGAAGTGCGCGAATGATCTGAAATTTTACACTAAAATTAGTGTTCTAAACCTACATCAAATGATACATTATCTGGAAAAAAATATTTTCAGTCCCATCATGTCTAAAAATTTCAGTGGAGTCCCTTTAATTCAAAACATACAGCTAAAGCCTTTACTGGTTAAGTCTATTTCTTACTATATTCATTCACAATCTTTATTATTAAATCAATTCAAACCATTACTATATGGTGGATATTTGTTTGTTTGTGTGTAAGATGAAATTTTATTTCATCGAGTGGGCTTTAAAAACAGTATTCTCACGAGTGGCGTAGCCACGAGTGAGAATACTGTTTTTAAAGTTCACGAGATGAAATAAAATTACATCTTACACAACAAACAAACAAATTTTCTTTTTATTTTAGGCTTAAAAACAAGTTAAAACGAAATTTCCTTAATATTTACGTTAATATTCTGTTTCCCCATTTAGAGCCTCAAAAAAGTGGAATTTCTCATTAAATATAAGAAGTCATGGGCTGAAAAATAAGTTCCACAATCAACGTTAAATGGTGGTGATAGTATTCATTTTATTAAAACAATATGTCTGATCGCATGTTTAAATAATAAAAACAAACAATTCTAGTAGGAGAAAAAGTCCAACCATCCATCTATATTTCTGTTACTGACTGCGAATTTATATTAGACCTGGCTATGTTAAATGTAAGCGGCCGCCATTTTTAAAGTTGTGTATTTCACTGGAGGAAAATAATTGTGTTTGATTCAGAGGGATATCATTAGGATAAGTTAGTCATACACCTTTTTAAAAGAAAGAAAACTTATTTGAGGATTGTAACAGACAATAAATCAGTGTTGACAGATGTGTAAACATTAAAAAAAGTGGATAGGAAATTGGAAAACTTGGAAGCCTTACGAACGCTGGGTTGTTTACATATTCTTCGACTGAAAGCTGCGGCATTGCTTTTCAAGTTTTCATAAAGCATACGGCAGTTTTTGCTCGTAGGATACTTAAATATTCCCAAATGTCATCAAGAGCAGTTTTGAAAGAGGAAGGAATGTATTTTTCAGACTGTAAAAATGAAACAAAAAATTAAAGAGACGGTATTTGGTGATTGGTAATTTGAATGAATAGAAGTAACTTACTGTAAGTTTTCTTCTTTTTATTACTTTTGACATATAAGTTATTTATCAATTTCAGTTTTGCTTTTCTTTAAACAGCCTGACATTGACTGAATAGTCAGCAAAAATAAAATTGAGGTACCACATGGGGAAAACCTTAAAAAAGTAGATTCGTCATTGAAAAGTGTGAAATTATATTTTGATAATTTTCACTGTGAAATTATCAAATATAATTTTCACGGATAAATCAGTAATCCGCTGAAAAGCATAAAATAAACATGTATATTACGTCTTTTTTCAATTAAAAAGAATAATAACGTTTTCATTCTATGCTGGTCATGAAAATAGTTATATTTAATACATTTTTACCAATAACATTCACATTCTCACATAAGTATATTTCAAACATTATCTAAAATATATCCTCTAAGATAGATTTATCTTTCTTTATAAGATAAATATACAAATTAACATGACTTTTACATATATACCATCTCAGAAACAAGGCATTATAAAAGCACTATAATGTCATTCGCAATCTGTATTTGTAAATACGAAAACATTTATCATTAAATGGTAAAGCATAACAGTTTTTTTTACAATGCAGAATAAACTTGCATTTAATTGATAAATAACATTGGTAAGCAAGATACTGCAAAAGTTAAAAACACTCATCAAATATATGCTTAAAACGACAACAGTTGAGAAAACTAAAATACTTAATATCTTAAATTATTTTAAGGTTGATTTTTGTATTTTCTGACCGAAAGCTGACGTTCAATCTCTGACACAGAAGTTCCCGACAGACCTAACAATAAGTTGTTCTCAAAACAGCTTAAAACTAGCGATTTAAAAGAAAGAAATATTTTTATTTTGTTACAAGTATCCAACAAATTATAACGCATTCAAAGTTTAAAAGTAGCGTTGGCTTATAGAATTGTCAATAAATGCACACTCACAAATTACGCGGATGAATTTGATTTTAATCAATGAAAATGCTACTTTTAGCGATGTCGATAACCGAATACAACACAAATAAATCTGACCTCGAAATAAATAAGGATTACAAACCCGGAATGCAATGGAAGTTCTAAATTTAGAACGACTTGATTTTATTCAGACATTGTACAATAACTACTCCGTGGTGCTGGTTTAGTGTGTGAGAGGTCTGGAGTTCAAATCCTAGTCGAAGCAATTTTTTTTAATTCTTTTTTAAGTGTCTTTGTTAAGGAAGTAGCCATGATATGCAATGATAAAGTGTGGCTGTCATAAAAAATGAACATAAATGATTTCTTGATGCAACTCTACTGTAGTTATGCAAAATTCCGATTGTATCAAACTCTGGTGCTTTTCAAGATGAATTATAGTACATAAAAATAAACTTATACAGGAAAATACATACAGATATAAAGTACGATTTAGATTGCAAAGATCAGAAAATACCACAGAGCTTGCAGCCCTTTGATTCTCTTCATTCTTTACATTTCTTACTTCATATATAAGTCATAAATGAAGTAAGAATTCACCATTGGTATTTCTTTATAACATTTAAAAATTGCGATTCTGAATATTTTCTTTTAAATGAAAAGGGTTGTGAGCAGGTATTTGTGCTTTCGTTTTATATTTTAACATCAATGATTCATTATTTCTTCTTTACTTTGGAAAAAGATATGAATTCAGAAATACAAGAAATGTCAATATAAAAGGATGCAACACTTTAACTTCTTATACACACATATACATAACATAGTCATTAAATTTTTGTTTAAAACGCGCGGCAATTAGCATTCTATGTCTTTTACTTAAAGTGTTCAAATATGAATACACCTCAATATTGCGAAAAACACACGAAATGAAAGATATCGGTGCTTTACATTGATACCACATTCATTAAAATCTGTTCAATTTAGCTACTGTAAATCATCTACTCGTATATAGTAATGCAACAATAGTTGGTAGAAGATCAGATAATGCCACTGAAGTGCGATCTTATATTAAGAATCGTTGTCTCCTTGGCATAGGGTTAATGAAATTTAGCTGTTAAGTATATGGACAAAATAAAATGGTTTTTTCAATCAGTTATTTGATGGTTAATCATCAAATGCGGGTTAATTTCAACTGAATATGCACCCTATCGTCGGTCATTAACAGCAAAACCTGCCAAGATTATCTCAAGAGTGTAAGAAATAGTAAATTCCGATGCAAGATACACGTCTAGGCAAATAACTGGTGTCGCTGGAATCTCATTTGGAGGAGCTCATACCATTCGCGAACGTGATTTAAAAATGAGAATGTTTTGTGCTACATTGATTCCCCATTTGCTGGCAGATGAGCAGAAAAAGGCTCACGGGAAATGCGATAAGTTGTTCTCAAACTGTATCCAAAATACAATGCACGGTATTTTGCAAATGTCGTAACAAAACATGGGTTCATTTTCATTAGTCAAAACGAAAACACCTAAAAAGATTTGGACTACAAAGTCTGGACTATGCATTGAGAGAATTACCATCATTAAAAGTTAATGTCTGCCATTTTTTTTACTACTCAGGGTCCCATCAGTTACAAGTTGGAAAATCTGTTAATTCAAAATTTTACAGAAGTATTCGAAACTTAAACAAATAAGTTCAAAAACGAAGTTCCGCCACATGTCAGATTGCTACATGACAATGCGACATCTCACAAGTCGTCTATAATGTAAGACTACCTAATGTGCTCCCCCATCCTACGTATTTCCCTCCTGACCTTGCACTTTGTGACTTTTTTGTTTCCGAAGCTTAAGAAAAAACTTTTCGAACACTTTTTCAGCACAAACATTTCAGTTCTGCAATATTCCAGTGTCTTCAAAGTAAACCTAGAAGGACTATGAAAATGCTTTCAATTAACAAATCCAACTTTGAATATTGAATAAAACTTATTGTATCTGTTGGAGGTAAATACTTTCAGAAAACAAAAAAACTGTGAAGAATCAAATTTTCATGCTTAGATGCATTCATATTTGAACAGTCCACGTATTAATATCAAAACAAAACAAAGCAAAAAACAAATACAATTACTTTTGAAATCAAAAAGAATCTAGCCTTCATTCATTTTCATTCAATCTCGTAATGTAAGCTTCTCCGAATGGTTTTAAACAAAGTTGAAAGATACTTATGAATCATCACTTTTGCCGATCCAGTGAGTAGGCATGAAATAAAGCTTGATTATTGGTATTGGTCTACAAAATTATATATATATATAAACAAAAACAGCAAGTCACGTGTCACGTTACTTGATCAAATAACAAATGACTTGGTGTCTCAAAGAAACAAAATATATTATATATGTTACATCATTGACATATTATACATTATTCAAAGTTTTTTTTATAAAATAAAAGAGATTTAGATAGAACCATATTTCATTTTGCTGTCAGACAATTGCTTTAAATTATACAGATTAAATCTACTCAAAACATATTTCTTGAAACATGTTTATTGTGAAAATAATTTTTTTATAACATGAACATTCTAAAATAAATGATACAAATCTGCAATCTTATTGCAAATCGTGCTTTTCCTATAAGTAACATTATACTTCTATCCCGGTGCTATTTACTCTGCTTTAAGATTATGTCGCCTGTGCCATCTACTAGTTTCCGTTTTAAGATTATGTGAAAGTATCAATAGAGCTTGTATAAGTTTCTCAAGAATATCAAAATCAATTATCCCTTTGAAAAGGGCTGCGTGAATTGAATTAACTAAACACTCGTGTAATAACAGAAAATTATTATCAGGAATATGTTGTTTTGAAATATTCATAAAGCATCAAAATTACTTACACCCCTGTGCACGCCATTCTTAATAAAAACACAGTGTAGATAGTTTATATCTGACTATAATAACCCGAAACATTTTATTTGGGTGTATATCTGTTTCAGTCAAAAAACATATTATACAACACTCGTGTATGTTGTTTGACACTGCTATTTTATCAGTTGAACGAAAATATAGGTATGACAATATATATTAAGTCTACCTTATTACTATATACATGCAGAACGCTTAACTCTTAAATACTTTTACGATACATATTATGCACTCGTCCAATGTTTCAACATTGTGAAATTCCAACATTTCACAAGAATAATTCAAAATTGGCAATATATATCTATGAATGGACACATCTGAAAAGTTAATGAATATGCTTCTTAATTGGAAATTGCGTTTTGTGCTTCACTTGCTAAAGCGCGTATTGTTGAATGATCTATCTTGTGTACATACAATACCAAGATATGACTGAACAAATATCAAAGACAAAAATTCATGTTTTGTATTTTTAGTCTTGAATACTTTTTACATTTAAAATCAGCATTTTGCTTATTTACAACCACCAAATATGAAAACGTTATACAATTTGTTAAGGTGACAAAAGCTCTGCATATTACACCTAATAATTCTTATTTATTTGAAGAATATAAGGTATTCTGGGTATGCTTGTGTATCATTAAAAACAACAAACATTTGATTATAATCGGGGTCGTCGATGACCGAATCGTAGAGGTTGTGAGGTCCGCCAACAGGTTTTGCTGGTGGCTGGCGTAATCCGTGGACACCAGTGGTATATTCACCGGTGAGTACTCGACTGTAATATATTCTCTTCACATCATTTGCGTCCGGTACAGAGTAAGTATCGTCACATGAGTAATCAGCTTCAACGGCGAAATAGACACCATATCCAAAAGCCACAGCTAAAAAATAAAATTGTCAGCGTTGTTCATGATGTATATGAAATAGATAAATCTGCAAATGCAAATTAAAACAGCATTTAACTTTTCTGAATTTGAGTGGTTTTTTTTCGTCAACTTTACAACGTATTTACTTACTTTTGAAAAAACTAACGATAATATTAAGAATGTATCCCTTTCGCTTCTTAATAAGAAACCTCCATGACTTCATATTTAAACCTCCATAGTGTTATACTCTAGTTATCCGATACACAAGTTAAAAATGTTATTGTGCTTAATAAGGATGACGGAGACATTACTGTGACGGTTTCCGATGGATTAATTTTCGTCGGATGTTCGAAAGTCAGCATACTCTCAGCTATTCATTTTAAGTGTCATGGCTCTAGCAGTTAATGTTTACCTTACTTTCGCACGACGCAATCCCGTCTACATACAGAAAATAGGACGGTCGTTTTATATCATTATGCTACAGTAGTTTAAAAGAACATTCATTCACCATTTTGTCCACAAAAGCTGCGATTAAATCCGTGAATATTAATACTGTCAACTGCTTCAGCTTTCGTACCATGCCACAACATTCTTTCGTTCTGGGTCTCTGGTTTATTTCTTGCTTCCAGTTGATTCCGTTTACTTTGGTACTGTTCCCAAAGAGTTTTGTTTTGTATTTTCTGAATCTGAAGTCATACATTTGATTGAAAATCAAGGTTTCTCAAAATAACTCTCATTTAGACTGTCAATGTAAACATTACAGAACATTGCAAATGTAAGCCTCAGGTGAACATTTTTGCGATCATAAATAGGAAATAATTTTTTTATAGTGATGTAATCTATGTGCTTTGCATGCGTTTAATGATATATTGACATTTTATTTTGAACGTGTGTTACAAAATATGTAATTATTACATTATTGATAAGCACCGATAGCACATTATTTCGTAAGAAATTTCCATTTAACATCACAATACGAGTTGAACTAGAAATGTGTCGAAAAGAAACAGATGCCCCACATTTTACTGTTTTTACAGTCCACTGACGTACATTAGAAAAGTACAAAAGACGGACGGACAAAGAAAATTCTGCAAGACTTTCCCTGCCCATAATGTTGCTTAAAAGGAAAGAGAAACAAGCAAAATTCCAGATGCACAACTACTGATGCTGACCTATTCCTTTAAAGTGTCATGAACTTTTTCGGTTATGCTAAAAAAGTTGCAAATCTTTTTGTAAGTCAAGGGCAAAAATACAAAAATACTGAATAAATGTACAAAATGATACCTAGATGCATAACTTCACAAACTAACTAACATTCCTGTAAAGTTTTATGACTCTAGGACGAATTCACTTTAATCACGCGCAATACAAATTTACAATTGCAAATTTTTACTAAGTCAAGGGCAATTACTTTACAAATACTGAATAAATCCACAAGCACACCCAACAGAAGAACGACTTCATGTGCTGTCGATCAACATTTCCGTTGAGTTAAATGATTTCATGTCAAATACTTTTTGGGCTACGCGTAACACAAGTTGAAATTACGTCAACGGCAGTGCATAGATCTCTGACCTGTCTGAAAAGTGGTTCCACAAAGAATATCACCACAACTGGTTTGTTATGAAAAGAACACATGTCACTGTCTGTGGTAAAAATGTATAATTATTCATATAAAAGGCCAAAGTAGAGTTCTATCAGAAGAAATGTCGAACGACATGTATGCCCCCTTTCAAGCCCTCAAATCTTATTATTGGCTATTTTGTCACCAGAAATTTGCCATAAATGGGCACATGGAAGTGCTCAGTTATGGACAAAAGAAAAATAAAGACCTACTAGTTATAACCAATTAATATGTAAAACAAAAAGACCTTGATATTTGAACTATGAAAGCTTTGTGACAATTAGTTTTCAAGATAGTAAGCGGAAACAATTCTGACATTTAGACCCCTGTGACATTGACCTTTAAACTAGTGACCCCAAAATCAATAGGGGTAATGTACTAGTTATGACCAATCATTACGTGAAATATGAAGCTTTTGTGATAAATAGCTTTCAAGATAACAGAAACCATACTAACATTCAACACCCCTCTGACCTTTACCTTAGACCAAGTGACCCCAAACAAGGGTCATCTACTAGTTATGAACAATCAGTATGTGAAATATGAACACCTTGTGATAAATAGTTTTCAAGATAATAAGCGGAAACCTTTCCGGCCTTTTATGACATTAAAACAACTGTGACCTTAACCTTTGAACTAGTGACGCCAAAACCAAAAGGGATCATCTAATAGTAATGTCCGATTGTCAGGAGTAATGACTGCCTTGATGTTATTTAATCTAAGAAAAGATTTAGTTATAAAAACAAAAATAAATTTCCAAGATATGGAGGCTGGGCAGCACCGCCTGACTTAAAATTGAAATATTCTTTGTTGGAAAACTAGCGTGTAATTGTTTAGTTAACAATATTTTTTAGGTATCTTTTATCTGTTTTCTATCTCAAATCCATATTTGCATTACATTTAAACTACAAACTCTGATCATTATTTACACAAAAATCAAAGAACTCGGATCATTATTTACACCCAAAACAAACACACATCATTTATCAGCCACTTATATGAAATATCTTTTCACGTATACGTCTTTATACACACCTGGTGAGCCCAAGCTCTAAACAGCTAATGATCAAACAAAAAAATAAAATAACCACAAAACGAAGAACACAAAAATAATATTTTTACAAATCTAAGATACTGTATAAACCACAAACTTTCAACAAACAATATAAACTTAACAAAATCTAATCAGCATCAGAAAACAACTTAACCTAAACATATGTGAAATATGAAGACTTTGGTTTTGAAGATAATAAGCGGAAATTATTCTGACATAAAAATCAACTGTGACCTTTGACCTAGTGACCCCGAAATCTATTGGGGTTATTTACTAGTTATGACCAATATGTAGTTTTTGGAATAAATAGTTTTCAAGACGATGAACGGAAACCGACGGACCGACAGACCGACCAACATAAGCAAAACAATATACCCACACTTCTTCGAAGGAGGGGGGCATTATAAATCTTCCAGCATTTTAAAGCTACACGTAGCACAACACGCACGCGCATATGCACGCACGGACAAGGAGACATAGAGTGGAGGTATAACAAATAGGGATTCCTTTTGCTCCGGCTTTTGTTGTGCTCATGATTTGCAAATTTATTTCTGTATCTCTGCTGTGCACAGAATGTTATGAATATACGAAATTTATTAAGATGTCAACCACTGATCAAAATTTAATTTAAACCTCTAGACTCGGCTGAACATATCATCGCTAACTTCAGTATTATACATTTAAAGTAATGCAATGCACATCTAAAATTCTAAACTATTACAGAAAATATTTCAGAAACATTTTTACATTATTAAAGTTATTGAAAGTTTAACCCTTTCACTACCCTAGGGACGGCTTATGCCCTCTTTTTTTCGGCGTATTTGCCATATAGACGGCCTTTAGCCGTTTCTATAATAATAATAAATTAATAATAATAAATTAATAATAATAATAAATAAATAATAAATATAAAGAAAATTATACCATCGACAATAATTATTATTATACTAACAGATTTGGAAACATATAAAATTATTATAATACTAAAAACAAATAATAATAATTACATTAATTAATAATATAGTAATTTCTAAGAAAACCCTCTGGCAAATAGGTGATCAATAAAACAATAACACTCTGGCAGCGAAAGGGTTAACTACACAATGATATGGAATGAAGACAGGGAATGTTGAAAAGCCATTTTTCATCTGATGTCCTATTTAGAAACAAGATAACGGCATGCAGAATATTTCTTCATTCCATGCCTTTCAACGATTTTTATCAATACTAACACGTTAGTATGAAAATGGAAATCAATCGTATAGAAACAGATGCCAATTTATTGTATTGTTGTTAAAATGATGAGCATATTGTCGTTCATTGTAATAAATCATTCTAGCCTGTCGGCTTTGGTCGTAATAAAGCAATCATCTATATTTTTACCATGCATAACTACACAATCATAGCACTTTCCATAAAAATTTATTTTCTAACTTATAGCTACTAAGCAACCGCAAAAGAAGCTTTGACGTGAAAATGAAAATTATACAGCCTATTCCATAAGATCGATTTAAGTATTGTGTTATGAAATATATATATACCTTTAAAACTTCGTAGTCTGAAGAAGCAGAATCCAAAAATTTCTGTTTCATTTCTATGTACTCTTGAGCATCTTGTTTAAGATCTATAACTCTGAGATTGCCTCCTTGCATATCACCCCAATTAGGCGGAATATCAAATGAACCTCCTTCAATATAATTGTATACTGTTTATTAAAAAACTTGTCATCCCGACTTATTACAGTTTTGCTTTTGAAGCTAAAGTCTTATCTTTGTCGTTCATTAATTACATTTCACATTATCTTGCAATTATTTTTTCTTCACATACACCCGACTTCAACTTATGGAAAGGTTATGCTTCCTGATACTTACCTCATTGCTAGCGACCGAATAGACGACTATGCAGTCTTATGATAATAAAATATAAATGAAAATCAAAGTATAGTAAAAGATTATATACCATGCAAACTTCAAGCGCATATGATCTGAAAACGTGCTTGATGGACACTTTTTAAGGTTTAAATAAACATGTACAGTTTCCCTTTGCCTTCATGTCTACATAAACATTTTATTTAAGACCTTATAAAACAAGAGCCGGTTGAACCGACTAGGATTTGGACACAGAAAAACTATTGTAGTTTCAGAGTTATGTCCCAGACAAAGTTCAAAGTGTGATAATTCCAAACTTAGGCAATACAGAGTTACTGTTCTTTGCACTGCACTTCTAACTCAATAAGATCTATCTACCCATTTGCGCACGACACGTCGTCTCAATATGGTGATCATTTCTGTGAAAAAGTTGTAAAATCCGACTTGAAATAACAAAGTTATGGGCCGGACACGATTTTGCTGCAAGATCATGCTGTGACATTGACCTTCAAGGTAGCGACCCAAATATTCCGAGCGACACGTCGTATTTATATGGTGATCATTTCTGTGAAATAGTTGTAAAATCCGACTTCAAATAACCAAGTTATGGCCGGACACGTTTTTGTTCTAGGTCATGCTGTGGCCTTGACCTTCAAGTTAGCGATGCAGATGTTGCGTGCGACACGTCATCTCAATATGGTGATCATTTCTGTGAAAAAGTTGTAAAATCCGACTTGAAATAACCAAGTTATGGGCCGGACACGATGTTTGTCTAAGGCCATGCTGTGACCTTGACCCCCAAGGTAGCGACCCCAATGTTGCGCCCGACACGTCGTCTTAATATGGAGATCATTTGGTGAAATATTTTTAAAAACCGACTTCAAATAACGAAGTTAACGGCAGGACAACATTTTGCTTCAAGGTCATGCTGTGACCTTGACCTTCAAGGGCGCGACTAAAATGTTGCGCGCGACACGTTATCGTAATATGATGATCATTTCTGTTAAATACTTTCAAAATCCGACATCAAATAACAAAGTTATGGGCCGGCAAGATTTTGTCTCAAAGTCATGTTGTGACCTTGACCTTCAAGCTAGTGACCCAAATGTTGCGCGCGACACGTCATCTAAATATGGTAATCATTTCTGTGAAATGTTAATTCTGACTTCAAATAACAAAGTCCAAACCAAATCTATAATAAAAATTCATCAATCGGGACTCGATTCGAATTTCACATGCATTCATTTACAAAAGTTTATAGTAAATACATACATATCATATAATACATACATGGTGAACATATTGACTTTATATCGAAATTATTTTTAAGTAATATGCAACTTTACTTCTTTTATTATAAAACGCATTTGTCTAAATAATGGAAAATAAATGACATGTACTTTCTTGTTGTTTATGGTTCCTCTATCTAGAATGGAAGCAAAGTAACACGGAAATTCCGAACCGTAGTGATAATTACTTGTGCATTAGTTATGTCGAAATTAAAATAAGTAAATAGAATTATGTCTAAATTAAAATGAATTCATAAATTTTAATTGTTTACATTTCTGCAGAATAGTTTCGATTTCTTATCCATGTTCAAAAGCTAGGATCGAGCACGAATATAGTAAATGACCAAGTTAATTAATTATTTTAGGATTATAAATATAGGAAATAAGATTTAATGACGAATAAATGTTATGTTTAAGTAACTTTCGTACGCTTTTCATTTATGTTTGCGTTTAAAGATTAAGTTAACACAGATAAATTATTGTTTAACCAAACCTTTCACAACATTCCTTCTAAGAACTTTTGCCACTGCCGTTTTGTCAGTCTCGGGATATTCTTCCATTGCTTCAAAGTTAATGATGTAATCCCTACCGTCTACACCGCTGTATTTGAAAAAAAAAATATTTACGATTTTAATACAAAGGCAACATTCTTAAACATACTAGATGATTGGGTACATACATTTCGGTCGTTGCTGAGATTTTTCAGTTTTATAAAATTATTCAATTCCTTTTCCATGTATGAGAGTTGGAAGATCTTATAATAGGTGGCTATTTGTCATATGTTTTTATGAAGATTGAAATCTACTTCATTCTACTTATCATAATTTAATTTTTCAATATCATTCATATTGCGGTGGGCAACTATCGCTCAACATTCTTAAATATAATAAGATTAATCACGAAAAATATATCAACATCAATACAAAATCAATCTATTTATTCTTTTTGAATTGTTCACCCTTTTGTTTGCTGGATATATTTTATAGTTAAAAAGAACGATAAACATGGATATATTTAAATAAATGAATGAATGAATAAATGAAAATTAAAATTAAAATTTCCAGGTAGCCTATACAAAGCATTCAGTACATTTGAGAGATCATTTTGCCAAACGTTTAAAACAGACTGTACAAGATTAAGAACAGGATAAAATACCTTAATAACGGTTCTTTTTCTCTCTATATTTTAAAGGGGTTCATTTCTCTATAAATATGCATATAAAAGGCAAAGGTAAACTGCCTAAATAAGAAATCTTACGTATATCCCATTTCCTGAGCATTTTGTTTATAACGTGTTTCTATTTTCAGGTTAAGGTCTCTTTCATACGGTTGAACATCTTCTCCGTCTTCTGTTACTTCAATGACATACCATTGAGCAATGTTCGACATGTAATCCATTTGTATTGCATCCTTGATAAAACTACGTAAATGGAAAGAATTATTTAATGAATTTAGAACACTATTCTAGCATGACTCGTGATTTTGTCATCGCACATTAAACAAAACTAGTGTAAACTTCAATCTGACTAAAGTTCAGATATACTTTAGTTATTTCTTGCATGTAGATCTGATTACCACCGTATTTGATTTGCCTTCATTGTCATTTGTTTTGTTTTTTCCGAGAAGATATTAAAGCCATGCAACCACATCATCCTTTACAGATAGGCATTAGACGAAGTATCAAAATATCGTATTCCGTGGAAGTAAAAAATAATGTGATTTTTGTTGGACAAAACTGTTTGAAGTATTTCAAATAAATAAACTTATAATTATAGACTTTATTTTACTATGCAACGTCCATAACTCATGGGTTGTGATAATAGTATAGCTTCTTTTTAAAAGAAATTGCTGATGCAACATCAATCTTCAAATTTACTTAAGGTATTGACTTGGAACTTGATGCATGTCTTAAAGATCATAATTGGAAAAGGACGAATAGCTTTTTTTGAATTCTTCGTTTAAGTTCAGCCTTCAAAACTAGTAATTTTAACGATAATTGATTCTTGAACATGCGTCTGCGGCATCATAATTCCATTGCAACTCAATATCCAAGGTTCCTAACTTAATAATGGCCCTATGTGAACTTAGTTAACTTAGAAAATTCTACATTAAAGTTGTGCATGCAACGTCAATCGTCAAAATTACAAAAGGTAATTGTTTGATTCTTTGTGCTTTTACGAAATATTTGGAAGATGCCTCAAATCAGAATTTCGGAATTATCAAAACAAGTAAAAACATTATACAACACTTAAGTAAGACACAATGAAAATAATGAAGCAGATTAAATTTATAAATTTGCAGAATTTAAATATTATCATAAGGTCGTTTATTCAAGTGTACCTATATTTATTTAAAGACCTTCTATAACTAACCTGTAACAGACTGTTGATACATAACATAAAGTTAATTCGTTAAGAGCACGTTATATGTAGAACCAGCAATTAATCTTTTTCTTTATCTTTACAATATACTTCTCAGCTCTATCATTCTCAAACTTTAAATGAAAGACTTGACAGGTTGTCTTTCTAATAGTTGTCTAAATAAATGGTCACTGCTGATGGATAGTTCCCTATTTAACCCCAACCTGTCTAATTCAAATTATTAGATAAGTGCATTACAATAACATAACATGAATTATTTAAAAAAACACACACACATGTCCATGTTTGTGGTTTAATTTATTGTTATTCAAATTAAAGGTCAAAGTAGGCAGCTACTAAGAATTTGAAGGTATTGTAGTCCCAAGTATAATATTCCTTCATACCTTTTTCAATTTACGGATTTAAGAAGTAAATTATACTTGATATAACCTAAATTTTATCTGAAAATTCTTCAAAAGTAGGAGTTTAACAGTTCCGGAATTCAGAGGTATAAATTACATTATCTCGAAATAGTCCCGATTTAAAAAGTTTCCGTATTTGAAAAGTTCCATAATCCTGCAGTTACACCGTTGCAACTGTTGATATATATCAGGTAACATTTTGAATATCACTGAAAGCGATTGATGCTTTCCGAATGATGCGCATTTGTCAATGTAGTTAATGTACGCATTGGGACAGATTGACATCTAGATTTTTCCAAACTACAAATGCATCAATACACATGCCGACTAACAGTTCTTTAATGTTTCATGACTATGACAAATACTGTTTAGGCTACGGAGGACAGAAGTTGAAAATTGAAAAATTATACAAAGTCAAGGGCAATAACGAGGTTGTGTCCCTTAGTTGTTTAATGACGTGCGTAAATTAACTTTCAAGTATTTTCAAAATGGGGAGAGATTAAGCTATCTGTAGGATTCGTATTGGATTATTTTATTGATATACAGTATAGATATGACGAGTTGAACGAAATTACAGGGAGTACTAGACCGAGACTGGCTTCACAACAGCGTGGTACGGAAACAATAACGTTTTTCGTAATAGTGGTGGTGAACTTGTTTTTGTCAAATCTGCATTAATATCGAACAATATAATAACTAGAATTTGAGCAAATTTTATTGATTGTGAAATTTTATATATGTAAAGTTTCAGGTTTCATTGTATGCAAGATGTTCTATTTTATATAGCATATGTGTGGTCTGAAGGTTCCAATATTTACAATAACAAAAAAGTGAAAAATGGGATTAAAAATATTGATGATAATATACTTATACTTAAAAAAAACTCTACTCTGATGCATATATCTATTTAGCGGGCGATGTCAATGCACGTTCTAAAGACGTGTTAGTTTTTATCCCTGCTGATAACAATAATAATATTGCTTGTACGAAAATTGATTATAATAGTGACGATTTCGAGATGAATCGGATTAGCAAAGAATTTGAGCGATATAATGGCTATGTCAAATCCCTAATTGAGCTTTGTTGTACATATAGTTTACATATTTTAAATGATAGATTATATGATGGCATTGTTGGTTATTATACATTTCTTACTCATGATGGTTCCGGTGAAGTTGACTACCATATTGTTGCTTCTTTATTGGTAACATTTATAACCTCAATGTTGATGTTAAAGATGACTCACACCACGTTCCTTTTAGATCTAAATTAAGCTTTATTAAGCATATCGATGACCATTCCGGGGATCGACAAGACGATTTTTCAAATGATTTTGAAAGAGTTTTTAAATACAAATGGTGTAATTCATACAGAGATACATTTATTGGGAAAAAATGACCAACGCATTTAATTTAAACGCGAATAATATCATAAATAGCATTGATATTCACATTAAATCCGCGGTGAGATTTTTATGCCCCCGCCATGTAATGGCCGGGGCATATAGTGTTTCCCTGCTCCGTCATTCCGTCATTCCGTCATTCTGTCATTCCGTCATCATCAGTTTCCGTTCATTATCTTAGTAACGGTTGCACACATTCAACTCAAATTTGACATATGGATATGTCATGAAAAATACAGGCCAAGTTTGAATTTAGTCATGGTTTGATGATTTTTGGCAGAGTTATGCCCCTTTTACTTTGAAATAATATGAAATTTTCAGTTTCCGTTCATTATCTCCCCAATGGTACAACACATTAAACTCAAACTTGACACATGGCTATGTCATGAGAAAATACAGGTCAAGTTCGAATTTGGTCATGGTTCGATGATTTTTGGCAGAGTTATGCCCCTTTTACTTTAAAATAATATGAAATTTTCAGTTTCCGTTCATTATCTCCCCAACGGTACAACACATTCAACTCAAACTTGACATATGGATATGTCATGAGAAAATACAGGTCAAGTTCGAATTTGGTCATGGGTTGATGATTTTTGGCAGAGTTATGCCCTTTTTACTTTGAAAATAATATGAAATTTTCAGTTTCTGTTTATCATCTCCCCAACGGTACAACACATTCAACTCAAACTTGACATATGGATACATCAAAGGAATGCGCAGGTCAAGTTAAAATTTAGTCATGGTTCAATGATTTTTGGCAGTGTTATGCCCCTTTCACTTTGAAAATAATATGAATTTTCAGTTTCTGTTTATTATCTCCCCAATGGTACAACACATTCAACTCAAATTTGACATATGGATATGCTTTTGGAATGCCCAGGCCAAGTTCGAATTTGGCCATGGTTAAATGATTTTTGGCAGAGTAATGCCCCTTCACTTTGAAAATAATATGAAATTTACAGTTTCTGTTCATTATCTACGCAACAGTGTTACATATTCAACTCAAATTTGAAATATGGATATGTCAAAGGAATGGGCAGGTCAAGTTGGAATTTGGTCATGGTATCATGATTTTTTGGCAGAGTTATGTCCCTTTCACTTTGAAAATAATATAGATACATCTTAGGAATAAGCAGTTTAAGTTTGAATTTGGTCGTGGTTGAATGATTTTGGACAAACTTATTTTTCCTGAATGTTGGAAAAATTTTGAAACTCATACTTTTGTGGAAATGTATGTAGCCATTATTTTGGCTACAAATATGCAATATGCTATTTTCAAAAGGTTAAGACTGAATAATTTCAGTGCCTTGAACATGAAAATGGTTTGTGTTAACATTGAAAACTTTTAAGGGCTTTGAACTTAAAATGAAAAAAATAATTTGTTCAAACAAATTTGGAACTAAATATTATAGCATCTGAAATTTTGGCTGCATGCGGGGGCATCCGTGGCATGATGACACATTTCTAGTTATCATAAATTTATGAATCATCTGCACAGAATATGCACATATACTATAGATATTGAGTTAAATAAAATTAGGTAAAAAGTCCTGGTGGGACGAAAATTGTAGTCATCTGAAACAAATTAATTACGCTGCGTTACGACGATTTTGATGGACAGATGATCAACAAGATTTTCAGAAATATATTTATATGCACAAACAGTTTAAGTTAAAAAACACCTTTATCAGCATACTAAAAGAAATAAGTCTTCTTGAGTTTAATAAAAATCCTAAAGCATTTTGGCAAATGTTGCAATCTAGTCAAAGGAAAGATGAAATTAAATCTCAAAATATAGAACCAAATACATGAAGGAATTGTTTCAAACGAAGAATAATCTCACAGGATTAAATAATATTGATTTGATTGAGACTGACTTAACCGACGAACAAAATGCTATTTTGAATATGCCAATTTTAAAAAGTATACATAATTCAAAAATCGGGAAATGGCAAGGAAAAGAGGGATTTGCGGCAGAATTTTATAAATTTTCATCAGACATCATTACGCCTTTTTTAAAGATTACTTTATAGATTTTTTGAGACTGGCGATTTTCCTGATACTTTGAGAGACATTTTTATTGCACCTGTTTGTAAGTCTGGCTATAAATTCGAACCATCAAATTATAAAGGTATATTGTTGATAAATGTTATTTAAAAATATTCTCAAATATTATTTACGATTGCTTATGTACATGGGCTGAAGAATTTCACAAAATAGACAAGGCTCAAGCAGG